CCTCATGCGTAATCCAGCACTGAAATAATTTCTCTTCAGCAGCTGCTTCATCTCTTTTAGATCATCAATGCTGATGATGTCTGCTTGAATCCAAATTCATTAAGAAGTAGTAGGGATTGACTGTGCTTGCACATCAATTGTCATACTCCACCATAGAGAACCATTTAATTTCAACCTTCTCCATTAGAAACATTAACAGTGTTCAGTGTCATCATGCTCAGCCAAACATTGACTTTTTTAAAGTCTTCATGAGGAAATGTCTCTAGTGGCAGTGAGCTTAAGGGTCACTAGAGCAAGGTACATCCCCAGGTGTTGTAGAACTATAATCCCATGATGCTTTTTATGCCTTTAGAATGACAAAGCATCACGGAAGCTGCAGTTTTAAAACTTCTGGGGATCTACCTTTTGGACACACCTGCTCTAGAGGAATTGCAAGGCATTTGCTCTGGGTGGCACTTTCTTGGGGGCGGCAAAATAAGTCGCACCCCAATAGCCCTGGCAAATGCCTTGCCAGCCTCTTGTCCTAGGGGGCCCAGGAGCTGGCCGGCTGACCACCTCAGGGCCCCCCGAGACTGGCAGCAGCTGCACTTTACGGGCAGGTGGCCAGGGAGCACTGATCCTCTTGTTCAGCTCCCTCGCACGCACTGCAGTGATGTCGGAGCCTGAATATGACGTCACTCCTGCCCCGGCATCATTACGTGGCGCACAAGCTGAACAGGAGGATCAGTGCTCCCTCGCCGACTGCAGTGACAAGCCGGCTGCATACCATCCCCACTGGACCCCAGGGAAAGCGAGAATCCATCCCAGCACTCCAAAAGGTAGGGAGGCTGGGGGGATTGAATTAAAAAAAAATGTGAGTGTGTTTTTGTGTGTGTGTCTGTTAGTGTGTGTGTGTCTGTTAGAGAGTGTGTTACTATGTGTGTGTCTGTTAGTGTGTGTGTGTGTGTGTGTGTGTGTCTGTTAGTGAGTGTGTTACTATGTGTGTGTCTGCTAGTGTGTGTGTGTGTCTGTTAGTGAATGTGTTAGTATGTTTGTGTCTGTTAGTGAGTGTGATAGTGTGTGTGTGTCTGTTAGAGAGTGTGTTAGTGTGTATGCATGTCTGTTAGTGAGTGTGTATGTGTGTATGTTAGTGAGAGT